GCAGGCTCCTCCCAGCGAACCACCGCCCTCCTGCAGGCTCCTCCCCGGGAGAGCGAGCCCGCCCCCTCCCGCAGGCTCCTCCCCGGGAGAGCGAGCCCCGCCCCCTCCTGCAGGCTCCTCCCCAGCGAACCACCGCCCTCCTGCAGGCTCCTCCCCCGGAGAGCAAGCCCCGCCCCCACCCCTGCAGGCTCCTGGACCAGAACCTGGCCCGTTATTTCCTCCCCCTCCCAACTGGCCCCCTCCTGGCAGCTGATGGCCACATGCAGTCTCTATAAAAATGGATCAGACACCCCTCCCTTAGCACTGTGTCCTCTCCAGCTGCCACTCTGGCTTCCTGCCTTCACAGCCCAACATGTTAGACAGAAGACTGGCCTGCACTCACTGTCTCACCTCCCACCACTGCCCCGTGACTGACATTCCCAGTGGATGAGGGGCACATGGACCCTGCCACGGCCCAAGGTAAATGACCAGTGTCCCCAGCTCCTTGACCTCCCTGCGCCATAACCAACGCTCCTGCCTCCTGGGTCTCCGCTGGCCTCCCTGACTGTTCCTTCGCCTCCAGGGGTCTGCCCTGTCTCTCCTCTCGCCCCCACCCCCCTGGGTGCCTCTGCAGCCCTGGCCTGGAGATGGCTAGGTTCCTCCCTGCCCCACCCTGCCAGACCTCAGATTCAGCGCGCCCCAGACTGACCCGGTGATCACTCCCACCTCAACCTCCTTCTGTGGCTTCGATCTGAATGGCACTGCCAGCCCCTGAGCTACCCAAGCAGCAGGGAGGCTCCTCCCCTCTCTGCAGACAGCACCTCCATCCTAACAGGTGACCAAGTCTGGGCAATTCCACATGCTCAGCGTCCCTCATGCACAGCCCCTCCTGTCCTGGCTCTCATCTCGCCCTGGTGCAGGGCATCACCAAGCTTGAAATCCTTCCCTGGGGCACCCAGCTTCCCGCTGGTGCTGCCCGTATCCATGGACCCACCCATCTCCTCTTGCAGGACCTTGTCCTGAGACAGCGGGGATGCACGCTGCAGTTTCCCGTCTCAGGGCCTTGGTTTGCTTTGAGATGTCCTGTCCACCCTGTCTGCCAAGCAAACACGTCCTTGGTTCAGCTAAGGTGTTTGGCATAAATTCTCTAACACACGACAACCCTTTGTGGTACTATTATGAGCCTCATTTTGCAGAAAGGAGATTGACTAAGAGGGATTAAGTAACTTGCTAAAGGCCACCAGAGACACTAAAATGTGACAAAGAGCATGATTTGAACCCACACCTGGCTACCCTAGAGTCCAAGTTCCCCACCGCCTGCTACCCTGCCTTCAGGGTGGTACCAGAGACGTTAGTCCGAGCCGCGGCTTCACTCAAGGGTGGCAACCCCTTGGGGAGCAAAGGTGATTTCGGGGCTTCCAGGGCAGAGCACCAGGTTCGGCAGAGTGGACCCCACTATGTGTGTGGCCGGTGCAAGAGTGGGGGACAAGAAGGAGTTCGGTGTGTCTGCGCCACGGCCTCAACACGCGTGGCTGCAGCCTGGGGACGGGAGGCCGGCGCTGCCCCCAGGGCTGGGTGGTGACAGCAGAGACTGCGGGCAGCCCACTCTCCCAGGGAGAGTGTCTCCCAGGTTCTGGTAAGTAAATGAAACGCCCGGTTTTTGTGTTTGCATTTCTTTCCAGTTCACACTGGCCTGAGGATAACAGATGCCTGAGCCTTTGAAATCTCCATGCTCCAGAAAGCCAAGCAGAAAAACCCGAGGAGAAATGGGGCGGCCATCTTCAAACGACAGAGCTGCCTTGTGGGAGACATGGGCCCCTGCTCATCCCTGCTCGGGGCTCAGTGGACGCTCCGGGAAGGCCCGCTTCCTCGCAGCAGAGGGAAGACTTTCCCAAAACCCATGCTGCCCATCAAAGGAGAGCCCCCCTCGACTGGCGGAGAGCCCCCCTCAACCAGGGGACAGCCCCCTTCGACCGGCGGAGAGCCCCCCTCGACTGGTGAAGAGCCCCCCTCAACCAGGGGACAGCCCCCCTCGACCGGCGGAGAGCCCCCCTCAACCAGGGGACAGCCCCCCTCGACCAGTGGAGAGCCCCCCTCAACTGGCGGAGAGCCCCCCTCGACCAGCGGAGAGCACCCCTCGACCGGCGGAGAGCCCCCCTCAACCAGGGGACAGCCCCCCTCGACCAGCGGAGAGCCCCCCTCGACCGGCGGAGAGCCCCCCTCAAGAGGCAGTGGCTCCCTGTCACAGACAGAGCCCTCAGAGGTAGGGGGTTTCTGCACAGATGGGGTACCTGGTCACCTCTGGGAGCCTGCCAAGCCTGAGGCTCCACGACAGAAGCCAGCGTTCGGTTAAGAGCCACCCAGCTTCAGAATTGTGCCTCGAACCACAAGCCATCCAAACTGACACGAGGAATACGATTCAGAAGGCACCCCAGCCTCCTGTGTGCCAGGGCCAGGGGCCCGGATGCGAGTGTCTAGGGCGGGGGGGCGGGGGTGCCGACACGGTCACGTGTCTGCGCCAAGTGCACAGCAGCTGGTGTGGGAAGTGGTGAGCACATCCTTCACACAAGCCCCTGCCTCCGCCCCACGGAGGGGCGAGCCACCCCACCCCCCGCTTCCCGCAGATGAGCAGCAGCTGGTCTCCCCACCCCCGCAGGTGCTCCCGGCGCTGCCCCCCCCCAGTTGCCCACCCCCCTCCTGCTGCGCCCGGACCCAAACCAGAGCATTACAGAATGAGGAGGCTTAGGAGCCCCACTTGACAGATGGGGACACCAAGGCCCAAGACCACAGAGCAAAGGAAGAGTCCCAAGGGCTTGGACACCAGACATCCTGCATCCAGCGCCCTTTTACTCAAAAGAGGCACTGCAAACTCCTGCTCTTTGTCAGACACTGTGGGTCCCTGGAAATGCAGATTCATGACATCACCGTCCCTAAGTTTGGGGAGAAAGACACAGAACAGGGAACTGCATGTGGTTGGGCAAGGTGCGTCCGAGGGGGCCCTGTAGGAGCAAGCTCTCCCCGAGCCGACTGCCGGGACCCAAACCACCCCCGCGTCCCTCGGGCAGGAGAAGGTCCAGCTCCATGCAGGAGTTGCTTTACTGGAAAGGTAAGGGGAGAGAGGGAGCCAGGGACTGTGACTCCCCACATGATGGGGGGGCCACAGGGCACAGCTCTGGAGGCTGAGAGTGCAGGCAAGCCCGGGCTGGCGAAGGGGGGTGCAGAAGGGTGGGGGTTCCAGCCTCCTGCAGGAGGGTGCCCAACTGGAAGTGGGGGGCAGAGGTCACAGGAAGACCACCAGCTTCCACCCTGGACTCCACTGTTACCAACCCTCTCAGAGTCCAGCAAAGTGGGTGCTAGGACGTCCATACTTCACATGGGGAAACTGAGGCCCAGAGAAGCTGTCACAGACCCCAGGTCCAGCAGGCCGAAGTGTCTGAGCCAGGACTCAGTGCAGACTGTGAGGGCCCGGCGAAAATAAGCGGCCGAAACAGTGTCCTCTACTGCCCGTAGCTAGGGCGAAGCGGAGACTGGGTGTGAGCCGCGTTGGGATGAGGGGCGCCGCGTGAGCTGGTGGCACTGGGCTGGGCTGGGCCAGGTCTGAGAGCCGAGGCTGGGACCCGCTCCGCGCCGCCCCCCAGCCGGGGCCACAGCCGAGCTCCAGGACTCGGCCTTTTGTCTTGGGCCTGGGTGACATCTTGCGCACAGGTCAGGGGGCGACGTAGCAAATGGGCTCCCCCCGGATGAGACACGGGGGTTCAGAGCGGTTGAGGGAATCCCTGGGCCCCACGGCTGGTTCAGGGCAGGGTAGGCCTGGCCCCTCCCGCCTGCACTGGCTCCTGCCAGGGGCTGACCGGACCGCAGCCTGGGTCAAAGACCACCAGCTCCGCGCAGTTCCGACTCCGTGAAGGAAGCTTCTTGGTGGTGTCTGGACGCGGCGCTCGAAGCACATGTCTGTCTGAGCGCCTGTGAGCCCCGGAGAGTCGCGGTTTCTGGATCAGTGTCCTCTGGCCATCCAGAGCCAGGAGCCCTCCCATGGTGGCCGGGAGCCATCCGGGCCGGCCCAGGGCCCCGGCACCTACCCGCATCTGCCCCTGCAGCCACCTGCCCAGAAAGCCCCACAGCAACGGGGACAAGATTTGCATAGCGTTTCCGGCTCACAGAGCACTGCTTGTCCCGTCCTCTGCGAAACCTGCTCCAGACAGATGGAGAAAGGTCAGGGCTGGCCAAAGACGCACTGTGGGAAGAGCCGAGACTCAAGCCGGTTTTTCAGACCGTGAGCTCTGGTCCTTGTCGGTCTGTCGCCTGCAGCCCAGATGTGGCTGCCCTCCTCCAGCCCAGGGACCCGGATTACATCCAGACTCACATGCATGTGAGGAAAGGCATCTGGAGGTTCTAGAACTACCCAGTCTGCAACGGAGAGGGTCAGCCGGCGGGGCCGGGCGATGGGGCCCCAGTGTCCTGAGAAGATGCTGCAGGTCTGCTCACGCCTGCACCCCTCCCCCGCCCCAGCCCAGAGGGGCTGCCTGTCCCTGGCCTGGAAGTGCACCCAGAGGCCCAGCCGACACTTCTCCAGGGGCCGAGTCACTTCTGAGCACCAAGAAACAGCAACCCCTCACCCACATCAGACTTGTATTTGACCGAGAGAGTGACTCCTTCCCAGCCTTCAGGGTCCAGTGGGGGTAACGGCCACACCACTGAGAAATACGGCTGCTGGTGGTATTTGGTGCGATGCGTGCGTGTGTGCGCAAGGGGACACGAGACGGGGCTGCCTCGGTGGGGGGGGGCGGTCTGTGGCTCAAGCTCTGAAAGGCTCCAGCGAGAGACAGAGAAGGTACGGGGCTCTCACAGCGCAGCCATGAGGATGTGGACCAGGACTGCCCCCCAGATCATGAGGCCATGTTCGCTTCGGGGACCGCCAAATGAAGATCCTGTCACACCGTTCTGAAGGCCCAGGGCAACCCCAGTTCCCTCTCTCATGGGGGTCCAAACCGGAAGGGAAGAGCCCTGGTGCCAGCACCTACCTGGACCTCCCGCGTGTGGTAGGCGATGATCAAACCCAAAAGGATGATGGTAGACAGACTGATAAGGCATTTCAGGGCCAACGAAAACATGGAATCCTGCCGGAGAAATGGAAAGAGAATTAGGACGGCCAGGAATGGGGCCAGCCGCGGGGCTGTGCAAAGGGGAAGGGGGCTCAGGAGCATGGCCAGCAGGTCCTGCCTTGGGCTGGACCTGGGGCCACGGGGGCTGAGCACTCCCCCGCCCAGCCTCTGTTTTCTAGAGTTAAAGCCTACTTGCACTCCTGGGATGGAGGCTGCCTGGGCAGGAGGCATCACGTTTGCTCTCCGTGGCTCAGTTTGCGGATGGGTCGTTTAGAATTTTGCCTCCATGCTCACAAGTCATATGAACATAATTCCTTTTTGTGCTGCTTTTCTCCGTTAGGCCTTCAATCTCCAGCCTGGGCCTCTCTCTGAACAAACCTGAACCAGAGGATTCCTGAGCTCCTTCCATCTCTGACCATGCAGGGTTTTCTCCAGCATGACGTAGAATGTCCTGGCAGGTGTTCTCACCCCCAAGGTTAGGTCAAGAGCAGGGAGGGAGGCAGGGTGGCAGAGAGCTGCTGGGGAGCAAAGAGGGGTCCCCCCTGCAGAGGGTGGGGCAGGCAGGGCTGCGCCCCCAGTGTTCACTGCATCTTCCAACCCCAGGGTGGCGGCGAGAGCCGGCAGGCAGCACGGCTCTGGATGCAGCCCTTTCCCAGCTGTGTGGCCTCAGGCTGCCCGCTCCACCTCTCTCTGCCTCGACTGTCTCACGTGTCCAGTGGGGGGAACACTAGTTCCCACCTCCGAGGGCTGCCAGGAAAAATAAAGGCATCTGTGGGTGTAAAATCCTAGACCCGTGCCTGTCCTGGGGAGGCTTAGCTACCTCTGTCATTCACTTCACATCCTCTGTAGATTCAGGTTGTCCTGGCCGGGACATGGTGCCCTGCTGGGCATTTGGAAGCCAGGAAGTAGGGGCGACTCCGGTCCCAAGGGAAGACGGGAGCACAGCCCGAGCTCTCAGTCCCCAGAGACCCACGGCATGCCCACAACAGCCCTGTGCTCACAACCGCCCCTGACTTCCCTTTTTTTTTTTAAAGATATTATTTATTTATTTGACACAGAGAGACACAGCGAGAGAGGGAACACAAGCAGTGGGAGTGGGAGAGGGAGAAGCAGGCTCCCCGCCGAGCAGGGAGCCCGATGCGGGACTCGATGCAGGGACTCCAGGATCATGACCTGAGCCGAAGGCAGTCGCTTACCCGACTGAGCCACCCAGGCGCCCTCTGCCCCTGACTTCCCAAAAGCACCTTACAGTGTGCAAGGTGCCGTCACATATTCGCTCTCATTCATCCTCACGACAGCCCGCGGCCTCGATCCCAACTTTGTGGACGTTACAGGAGGAGGCTCCAGGCGTGAGTGGCTTGGCCGGAGTTGAAAGCCAGGGTCTCTGGCTCGAGCCCAGAGCCCTGCCCTCAGGCGCTCAGGCCCTCTCTGCCATGAGAAGCCCACTCAAGCAGATCCAAAGGACAGCTCAAGTCAGTAAGGGGAGGTGTCTCCAGCGAGGAGACAACGAATGCCAAGGGAAGCCTACGGCAGGGCTGGGGGGCTCAACGGAAGGAGGGAGACAGCACCGCCCGAACACCGCGAGGCAGAGTGAGAGTGCGGCTGGGACCTGCAGAGGCCCAACCCCCGCTCCCCACCCTCCACCCCTGCAGGCTGAGACCCCAGGAACCTCTCCCTGGTTCTGTCAATCCTGTATTTGATACAGTTACCGGGTGGGGCCCTCTTTGTGCAGGCACAGGCTAGCGCTGGGGACCCACGGAGAATGAATGAAAGAGTGCATTCCTTCATTCCTTCATGACGACTGCTGGAGCCCCCTAGATGCGCAAGTGTGCGGAGCGGTGGGGGTTCAGAGCGCCCTGCCTGCCAGAAGCTTCCGTCGGTCTGGCTTATGCACAGGCCCCGGTCTGTGAGCCGCGCAGGCTCATCTGCCGCGGGGAAGGCTCCATCCACACTGCCCAGACCACGGTCTACACCTCAGCCAGGTTTCATGGAGCCTCCACAGTCCACAGCGCAATGCAGAGCGGCCTGTGGTCCTCGCTCCACACACACGTGTGGACAGAGCCCGGGGCAGCCCTCAGGAAGCCTCCTGTCTCTGAGGGCATGACTGGGAGACGCCGGACACACCACCCAAGCCTAGAGGTCTGACCTACAGAGGGCTGAACACAGCCTGAACTCGGCTGTTTCCAGACAAGACCGACCTCCCGACAGGAACCAACAGGGACGGCTCCCCCGGCCCCTGAGCCAGAAACGGCCCTAACTTCTCCCTCCAAGGGCTCTGGAGGCATCTGGGGAGCATCACGCCTCGCCTGGGAAGGCCTTGGGATCAGCTGCACATTTCAATGTCTAATTTATTTCTTTTGGCAGAAATGAACTAAAACCAGAATCCAAGTCTATTTCCATCATTTTTAGAGGAAGAGGTGGAGGGAAAGGGGCCAGATGCTGCCTCCCGTCCTTTGAGCCTCTTCCTTTTGTTCTAAAACTCAAAGCCTTTACATAAGAGGTGCCTTCCACCTGCTTCTCGGTTCTGGTCAGCTCCAGCTCCACAGGGAGACGAGCTTTGTCCCAGAGCCACGGGACCCTCGCCTCTTTGCAGACTTCCTGGCATTCTCTACTACGTGTCAATGAAAAATAAACCATCAACAATTTCTAATAGCTGAAAAACATGTCAAAGTCTGGCTGGACTGGAAATGTTTTCTATTTGTTTAAAATGTTGAATTGCCATCTTTTCTTTGCTGCCTCAACTCCAATGAAGCTTGAAATTGATACGGTTCTTTGGGTGACGGCAGCCAGCAAATTAGCTGCCACACAGCACATGGGGGCACCTGCCACGTGCCCTGCCCCACAGGCTCCATCTGAGGGGCGAAGGGGCTGCTACTCTGGGAGGGGTCCTGTCAGCCGGCCAGCCCTCTCCTCTGCAACTCAGAACTGTTCAACAACAGAGCAGCGAATGCTTAGGGACGACATCCCCACAGATGAGTCATTTTTAAAAGCTGTTTATTCCTAAACGCCCAACACTATCAGAGTGGTTAAATAAATTTGAGAATAGCCACTGATGGACCACTAGGTAGCCACTTAAAACCACTTCTGTAGAGAATATATGAAGAGGAAAAACTCATGATATCCGGTGAAAAACCCAGACACCACAGCTGCATAGATGGTCTTTCCAATTATTTTTAAATTTATTTTTTTAAAGATTTTATTTATTTGACAGAGAGACACAGTGAGAGCAGGATCACAAGCAGGGGGAGAGGGACAGGGAGAAGCAGGCTTCCCGAGGAGCAGGGAGCCTGATGCGGGGCTCGATCCCAGGACCCTGGGATCAGGACCTGAGCAGAAGGCAGACGCTTAACGACTGAGCCACCCAGGCGCCCCTCCAATTATTTTTAAATGTTTTACTTTTTTTAATGTGAAAATGACTGAGAATATAGCACCACACTACATAAAGCGTCCGAGTACCCGGCCCACCGTGAGCGGCTGTGCAACCAGCCAGGGAGAGCCTGCTGACCCCAGGAACGCTATTCTGCTACCTCAGAGCACCGAGTACAACAGGTGCGTGACAAGTGCTTCTGGAAATTAATTAGGAACAGGACTTTCCCTTTTACCTGACATTTACTGAGTACCGACTGTACCCGGTGCCAGACTAGGCTTCTCACATCTCCCCCTACAGACAGGACCACGACGTCTCCGTTGTACAAATACAGAAACTGAGACTCAGAGACACAGAGTAACTTTTCCAAGGTCACAAAACTAACCCAGATTTTAGCTGTCTACCGGATTTTCCTATATACCGTTCTTCCCCGCCGACTGAGACAGTTCAGCCGTCCTCGTGGAGGCTGGTCACGGCCATCCACCGGGGCTGCAGAGGAGATCCTAGCAGGGTGGGGAGGCGCGCTGCCTTCCTGCAAGGGGCCGCCACCACCCGCGAGCCCTTCACGCCCCTGTGACCCCTCACGATGGCGTCCGGCTGGCCCACAGCCCTACGGAGAGGCCTGCCAACGCCAGGCGGGCCTCACCGAGCCACGTTTACAGAGGACGAAACGAAGAGTCTGTGAAGCTACCCCACGTGACAAGGCAGGATTCGAGAAGCCAGGATGCACTCCACATCTGTTTGCCCCCAGATCCCGTGCCCTGCCCATGCACTGCACCCCTGCCCGCCCCCCGGTCGCACCCTGCAGCGAGGACTCTCAGAACCGCTCCGCCTGTCCTGTCCCAGCCTGTCCTGCCCCAGGGCTATGGGGAGTGGGGGGGTGTCCCCGGCCTCTGCACCAGCCTCCTGGCTTCCAAAGACAGGCCGGAAGTGTAATGAGTACGGTAGATCCTCCCAGACACGCTCAAGTCCTAAATGTGTTTGACTGCTAGGGACCTCTGAAGATAACAGAAAAACAGCGTCCCGCAGGCACGAACATGAGCTTAACCAAGGTGGAGTGTGCAGGTGCTTCCCAGCCGAGCTGATGCCCCCCAAGTGTGCGTGCGCCTGTTCTCACGTCTGTGGTCCGTTCGTGGTTTCTGTCACTGGCCCGGACCCCTGAGGGGGAAGAGACCATGTCATCTAAAGTCTGTGCTGGATTAAGATCTGCATGCTGTGCATTCGATCTGGGAAATCATAGTTTTAGAAATGTTTTCTGTCTGGTAAGGTCAACTTTTCCTTCAATTTCATGGAAAGGCTCCAATCTTGACTGATATTCAGTATCAGCTTAATCCTCTGGCTCTGGAATGGTTGTCCTAATTACTCACTCCTGCTCATGAACGCTGCGCATGTCAGAACCAGGCCTGGGCCATGCAGGAAGCCAGCGAGCCGGGTGCCGCTCTCCGCAGCTGCGCCACGCCCATGCCTGCTCCCTCGGCTCTCCCACCCCTCCTCAGGACCTCTCTTCCTGCCCACTCTCCCTGTCCTTCACCGGGGGCTCCTGCCTCAGCTCAGGCCCACCCCCCCTCTGGTACCCTCAGGGCAGGTGGGCAGGGCCTGGAGAAGCCGGGGGGGGGGGGGGATAGTCAGAAATGGGCAAGAAGCCCAG